TGCTCTTCTCAACAACAAAGTATATCTACCATATCTCCTAATTTCTTACTTATAAGTAAAACTGGCATAAAAAAGTTTGAGAATAAACACAATTGATTCATGGTAAGTATTCAACTCAACTGATATTGACATCAGGCATTAAAAGAGTTGTAGAGTCCATTGCCTAATCCAACAAGTCAAGTGAGTTTAGGTAAGATAATTTTTTCAATATTCTAGTTTCGCTGGACTATAGATAAGGAGATTAGTAGAATTCTATCATGGTAAATCAGGTGAGAAAGAGAGACTTTGCACTACAGTAGTGCTACTTAGAATTTATAAGAAGGGGCAGTAGAGAATCATACGGGATCTGAATGAAAAAGATTTAGCAAGTGATAATATCAAGAGAAGGAAGAGTCATATATAAATATTATCTATCATCAGTAACAAATGATGGCTTTAATCACAAAATGTCACTCACACCATCAAAACCTCTATATTATCAACTTATCAAGATTAAAGGCAAGTGGATGAGAGTAAGGGATATTAACAGTTGTTTTGAAGCAGTGAGTTATTTCTAAAAGTCTAGGAATAAAAAACATCAAGACAGGGTTTTGATGCAGTTTATTTTCTGTTTTCCAATGAAATATGTATAAACACATGTATATGTATTTTATCATGAAGATAAACAAGGACCTTTAATTTCATATTTATTCCTTTTCCTAAATCAGTAATTTGTTAGCAAACACTAAGGGCATTTAAACATTTTGAAATATAAGGTAAAGACCTGTATATTGAAAAGTCTATCAAAACAAATACATTTCCTCAATTGCATTTGTAAAGTTTGTATAACTATTATGATTGCTTCTACTTCCACTGGAAGATAAAGTTTAGACATACCTAAGACTAACACTTCTTATAGGATAAAAAGGAAGAAAAAATAATCTTTAAAAAAAACCATAAAGTTTTCTCTATTTAGTAAAACAGCTGCTGTTCCGCCTGCTTCAGTTTATCGTTGAATAAAAATTAAATACATGATACCCTGAAGGTAATTTTTCAATTACATAAAATGAGTAAACCAAGATCACAGAAGAAACTGCCAACACTTACCACACCAGTACATGTACAAAGAAATTATTTACATTATTTAATGTCTTCCAGTTTCATTTTAAGACAGAGTTCACAACTGAACAATAGAAGTTGAGCAATTTTTTTTTTTTTACAAATAGTTTATTGTCAAATTAGTTTCCACATAACACTCAGTGCTCATCCCCAAAGTGCCCTCCTCCATGCCCATCCCCCCTCCCCCCCACATCCATCAGTCCTCAGTTTTTGTCAGCATTCAAGAGTCTCTCATGGTTTGCCTCTCTCCTTTTCCCCCACCATTTCCGCCCTTCTTCTCCCCCTTGTTCCTCCGTCAAGTTCCTCCTAATCCTCCTATACGTGCAAACATATGATATTTGTCCTTCTCTGCCTGACTTATTTCGCTCAGCATAACCCCCTCAAGGTCCATCCATGTTGCTACACATGGCCAGATTTCATTGTTTCTCATTGCCATGTAGTATTCCATGGTATAGATAAACCACATCTTCTTGATCCATTCATCCGTTGATGGACACTTAGACTCTTTCCATGTTTTAGCTATTGTGGAGAGTGCTGCTATGAACATTGGGGTACATGTGCTCCTATGCATCAGCATTTCTGTATCCCTTGGGTAAATTCCTACCAGTGCTATTGCTGGGTCATAGGGGAGTTCTATTGTTAGTTTCCTGAGGAACCTCCACACTGTTTTCCAGAGGGGCTGTACCAGTTTACATTCCCACCAACAGTGTAGGAGGGTGCCCGTTTCTCCACATCCTCGCCAGCATCTAGAGTTCTCTGATTGACTCATTTTAGCCACTCTGACTGGCGTGAGGTGGTATCTCAGTGTGGTTTTGATTTGTATTTCCCTGATGAGGAGGGATGCTGAGCATCGTTTCATGTGTCTGTTGGCCATCTGGATGTCCTCTTTGGAGAAGTGTCTGTTCATGTCTTCTGCCCATTTCTTCACTGGGTTGTTTGTTTTTCGGACATGTAGTTTGGTGAGTTCCTTATAGATTCTGGATATTAACCCTTTATCTGATATGTCATTTGCAACTATCTTTTCCCATTCCGTTGGTTGCCCATTAATTTTCTGGGTTGTTTCCTTGGCTGTGCAGAAGCTTTTAATCTTGATGAGGTCCCAGCAGTTTATTTTTGCTCTTGATTCCCTTGCTTTTGGGGATGTGTCAAGTAAGAAGTTGCTGCGGTGGAGGTCAAGGAGGTTGTTTCCTGCTTTCTCCTCTAGGGTGTTGATAGTGTCCTGTCTCACGTTCACGTCCTTTATCCATTTTGAATTGATTTTTGTGCATGGTGTGAGAAAATGATCTAGTTTCATTCTTCTGCATGTTGCTGTTCAGTTCTTCCAACACCATCTGTTAAAAAGGCTGTCTTTTTTCCATTGGATATTCTTTCCTGCTTTGTCAAAGATCAGTTGGCTGTATACTTTTGGGTCCACTTCTGAGTTCTCAATTCTGTTCCATTGGTCTATGTGTCTGTTTTTGTGCCAATACCATACTGTCTTGATGACGACAGCTTTGTAGTAGAGGCTGAAGTCTGGGATGGTGATACCTCCCGTTTTGGTTTTATTTTTCGGTATTACTTTGGTTATTGGGGGTCTTTTGTGGTTCCATACAAATTTTTGGATAGTTTGTTCTAGTTTTGAGAAGTATGCTGGTGCAATTTTGCTTGGAATTGCATTGAATGTGTAGAGTGCTTTAGGTAGTAATGACATCTTCACTATATTTATTCTTCCTATCCATGATCATGGAATGTTTTTCCATTTCTTTGTGTCTTCTTCAATTTCCTTCATAAGTTTTCTATAGTTTTCATCATACAGATCTCTTGTATCCTTGGTTAGGTTTATTCCGAGGTATTTTATGGTTTTTTGTGCAATTGTGAATGGGATCAGTTTCTTGATTTCTCTTTCTGTAGCTTCATTGTTGGTGTATAAAAATGCAACCGATTTCTGTAAGTTGATTTTGTACCCTGCAACTTGGCTGAATTCTTGGATCAGTTCTAGTAGGCTTCTGGTGGAGTCTGTCGGGTTTTCGATGTAGAGTATCATGTCATCTGCGAAGAGTGAAAGTTTGACTTCCTCTTTGCCTTTGATTTCCTTTTGGTGTCTGATGGCTGATGCTAGGACTTCCAGCACTATGTTAAACAACAGTGGTGAGAGTGGACATCCCTGTCGTGGAAGTTGAACAATTTTTAATGCCTACTATTAATTACATGACAATCAGCCTGGTCATAAATGGCAATGCGAAGTTAACCTTAATATGACTGGAAGTAACAGATTAAGCATATGCCCTTTGTGCTTTTGTTTTCTCTTTTGTATTTATCCACCATATGGTTTATGCCAATCCAGGAACAGTGAAGTGATTATCCTTACTAACCTTAAATATAGTAACAATACTTAATACTTAATGACTATGAGTCAGATATATATTTACATGCAATCATGAGATTTGTCTTGGTCTTATAAAAGTATTCTTATTTTCCTCTACAACTTCAGCCTAGCTATGGCTTAGGCTGTCTTATTTCTAAAACTGATTATTCTGTCCTTTTTCAGTAAATTCAGTCTAGCAATCGTGTGCTTTAGTACCTTCAGTAAAATTAGAGTTGCTGTCCAATTTAGAATCTCAATCTCAGAAATTTTTCTCCTAATGTGTACTTTCCTTTATTTTGTTGTTATTTCACACCTTAACAGTGTTTCTGCTTTCTAGAGTAATGGCCTAAAGAAAGAGAAAGTTGTGAAGCTCGTTATTATTTGTCTTTTCCCTTTCTCTCAACCACTGTTCATATAAACTTGGTACTGGGTGTCATTGGCATAGGAGACTTGTCTACAGTTTTACTTCATTCGTACAAATAACAGTTAAGTGGTGATTCTAGCATAGATGGCACATGTGGTTTTCTTGGATATCACCCCATTTTATTTCACCGGTACAAAAGGACCCAAATGAGCAGGCTCATTTCCCTTCATTTCCTGCCAGTTCTCCTCTTCCGCATCACCTTCCTCGAGCTAAGTACATATAAAGACAAAGCAAAGGTTCCTTTCTCAAACACCACATGCTCCCTCTTGCAGATCAACAGGGTCCATTTGATTGTTCCTATACACACCCATTTTGGAGCTAGGATGATGACTCCATAATCTTCTTTCTAGACAAAATCTACTATAGCCTTTTCATGGTTAACAAAGGGCAGTTTGGCAAATGTCAAGATTAAAAAAAAATCCCTGCTTGAGAAGTGAAGGCAAGTTCTGTAATTTTCCCACAGATTCATTCAAATCATCAGGTAATACGTATTGAGTATCTTTTATTGTATTGTTTGGGGGAAATGGGGAAGAGAGTAGACAATGTGTCTTAAAACACCAGGAAAGCTAACCTTTCTCAATGATACATATATCATTCAATGATATAATTTTCACTGCAAATAAGTTGAAAACCATCTGATTTTTCAATTTGATGAAATGCTGTTGTTAATGATGTTCTTGTTGGAAACTTATGATTAAACTGGTAGAGAATGTGAAGAAAGAAAAGCATTTGGGTGGTCTTATTTAACATGTAGCACCATGTCACAAATGCTTATGGGGTCAGTGTATATCCAGTTATATTCTATATTCATGTATTCTATCATTCTATTAAAATTGTTCCCTATACCCTTAACATATTATTACATTTTTGTAATGTAAGTCATTGCTGTGGTTTTCAGAAATCTGTACTTTACATTAGTTAATAGATAAAGTCATCAGTGGCCCAGTTTTCTTACTAAACATGTTTTAAAGTTCACTCTGGGTGCCTTCCAAGTTATCTTCAAGATTCTGATTATTAGTTCACATTTGAATTTATATTACCCTTCAACATGACCTTTGCCATAAGAAGTATTTCCTACTTGGAGAGGTGTGCTTTGTTAAATCCCATCTTTTTCTTATTTAATATCTCAAATAGATATTGCTTCCTACAAATTGCTGATGTTACCTTTGGAAAGAAATGCAAAGGATTCAAGGTCACCTTAGGAACTTTGAAAGAAGTGTTCGATAATTTTCTACATGCAATTTAAAATACCCGTGGTTCACACTGGTAAGTATGTGACCTTTGTGTCACTTTTAAACTCCTGTAGGGGCGCCTGGGTGGCTTAGTCGGTTAAGCGTCCGACTTTCGCTTAGGTCATGATCTCGCGGTTTGTGGGTTCGAGCCCCGCGTCGGGCTCTGTGCTGACTGCCAGCTCGGAGCCTGGAGCCTGTTTCAGTCTGTGACTCCCTCTCTCTCTGACCCTCCCCTGCTCACGCTGTCTCTCTCTCTCCTAGAAATAAATAAAACATTAAAAAAAAAATTTAAAAAAAAATAAAATAAAAAAAAATAAACTCCTGTAACCATTTGGCCAAATTTGTCATATATACCATATCCATATCAGGCATATGTCTAAATGGCCATGATGCATACATACAATTTTTTATATTAATCAATCACATCAATAAATCAAATACACTTTTTTCAGTACTTTTGTAATTTGAGAAAAAGAGGCTATTTAAGCTTGACATTCTAGATAGTTTGTTACTTAAGTCCATTCAAAATAATATTCTAAGATTTTTCCATAAAAATATGATGTCATCTTCTATAAAACAAATGGGCAGAAGTGAAATTAGCTATTTATGTACCTTTCACAAAAGGTGGAGTGTTTTCTCCCCTCTGTCACAATCCTGGAGCCCTAGATTTTACTGCCTCCATTGTTCTAATCTCAGCATCAACCACTCTCCACATGCTACTCCTAATGCCACCAAATCACATAAAGGAAGAAGAAATATGGAGCATATTTATATTGGCTTTTAATAGTCATAGACACTCCAAGTTAAGATCATTCCAACAATGGCTGTAAATCAGAATTATATGTACAGTGTCTGAAAACTCATCCAAAGTTGGAAAATAAGGCAACATATAGGTGATATATTTTTTTCAGTGCTATACTAAGGCAAAGAGGACTGAACATTGTTTAAATAAGGGAATTTACTTAGTTGGATTCACTATTTACCTCTCAGACATGTTGCAAGTTACAGGTTAGCTTGTAGATTCTTGCCTAATAATTTCAGGGAATACATAAACCTTAGAGATTGTATTTCAAAGCTCTGCTGAGCAGTGTTAGACAGAAAACCACAGGCCCAAAGTGGTGTCGCTAAACAAGACTTAATATCTAATTTAACTGCAGTTTTCAATGCCCCCCACCCAAGGTAACCTTTACTCAACAAACTGGAATTTCCTATCAACACTGGGAGGTAGTCACCTAACAGATCCCATCTATTCCACCTAGGAGGATGACCTTGCCTGAAACAATGAATTCCTTGCTAATAAACTCCTTTTTCACAGCTTTCCTGATTTAAAAACCTTAGATCTTGTACAGCTTCTTGGAGCTCCCCTCTACCTGCTAGATTGGATGCTATTGGATTTATGAATAGTTGTAATAAAGCCAATTAGATTTTCAAATGTCCTCACTTAAACATTGTGTTTTAACAACAGTAACTAATTATATAACCTGACCCTGTCATTCTAAAAATAGCCTAAGTTTTCAACTACTCTTTGAATCAGTTATACGGCCATTTTACTGAAACTCTCATAGAATTCATGAGTTAAATAAGTTTTTAACATTTTTTTTCTATATTTTCCTAAAAGTCACTAGATTAAGCTATTTGAAAGTTATAGTTTAAGAATGGCTTTTGAAATACGTGGGCCTCTGAGCCACATCACAAGCTTCAACACTTGGAAACCAGTATATAGTCCATAGGTTTTCCAGGATAGCGTAAAGAAAAATAGCAAAATGATGAAGTGTGTGAAGGTTGTGTTCTGCATTCCTTCACTGGTACCTAGCTCATGTCTCAGCCTTGTTAAAGGCTCTTTATACTACACCATTCCTTATCTTCAGGACCCATCCAAACATTGCTTCCTCTAAGTCTTCCCTTATTCCCGTCAGCCTGCAACTGAGGAATAATTTGTTTCTTGCTCTTGCAATCTGATGGCATTTCATTCCCATTTCTATTGTATTATAAATTTAGTTCTTATGTCTCTTTCATTAAACATCATTTATTGGGCAGAGATCCACTCTTAATTCTGTTCAGCTGGACAGAGGAATATGTGCGCATAATAAAAGTATACTAACACAGTAACTCTAGAGAGAATGAGTAATGAAGGAATAAGGTAACAATGGAAAAGATCAAATCATCCTATTAGCACTAAGACAAATAAGTCAACCTGATAGAGAATAGAAGGTTGTGCCGGAAGGGGGTGGCATGGAAAACACTAATACAACAAATGGCCAAGTCAGGAATGACCTTGCGTACAGAATTATTAAAATCTTTCAATTAGAGAAACTGACCTCAGTATCTTTATGTCAGTTTCCAAGTGCTTTGCCTTTATGAAAATATAAAAGCCTTTATCTAAATAAATTGTTTAATGATATAAGATTTCACCAAAGTCAACATACTACGTACAATCTTACTAACATTGTTTACAAATCTTAAAACATGTGCAACTAAATCACAAACGTATTCCTGACTTCCTAGTGAGATTTACTAAGAAAATCATTTTCAGTCATGGTGTAGTTTGGATTGTTTGTTGTGGGAAATTACATTTCCCAATTTAACTCCTATTATGGGATGAAATATTCATTTTTTTCACCTCTTACTAGAGGGAATATTTCAGATTCACTGAAGAAATACAAGATAAAAGAAAAAGACAGACTTTTTTGTAGAATTTTTTTTTCAAAGGAAAATTTATTTTTGAAAGTATAAGGTTTTTTTAAAGTTCTTGTGAATTGCCTTCCCTTTCTGTGTCAGAGTCCCGGCCTGCTCCTGTGTTGTGCTTTACTTTTTTTTTTTTCCCCAACTCTTTCTGCTTTCCTTTCATCTTTCTCCTTGTTAAGTTGTGTCTTCTGTACAGGATTAGACCTGAAGTTTAACATTTTTTCAGTTTTTCTTAAATCAAGTGTGGTTGCAATCAGGTAACTGTTTGGAGAGGTAAGGAACAGAAAGAAAGGAGTGAAGGGAAGGCCATGCTGAGAAAAAAGACCAAGGCAGGAAACAGAGAGAAGCTCTGTCTGCTAGCAATTAACACAGGGTGTCCTTTGCACATCAGGATCTAGAGAAGTGCTTGATGAAATAAAGGAAATGATTCATAAGCTACATCTGAACTCTTTTATTTATCTCCTTTTTTTTTTTTTGCATGAAACAGCCTCAGTTAATGGGATGCCTACATTTAGAGATTTGAACTCTGCTTTAGAAGCACTAATGACCTAGTCCAAAACTTTTAGCAAAAACAGAAAAAGAAAAAAAGAAACTGGAAAATCCTACAGTGAGCTCCAATTAGAAAGCTCTTCAAAAGTTTATTTCTCTTAATTGTTACTATGAAAAAAATATCTAAATTAGTGCTCTAGATTGCATGTGCATCCTCTTTTTCCTAGTGTTTCTTCTCTGTATTCAGTAATCCAAGGCTGTTTGATTTAATACAGTCCTTTTTGTTGGCTTAATGAGAGAGGAAAGGAATACATTTTAGCTTTGCTTTGTTTGCAAAATTCAGCTGCTGACCTATAAGCCTTCCTTGTTTTCTTAAATATCTGATTGGTAGACTAGATTGCAACATTTCTTCTGACCCTCCTCTTGAGAAGGAGGGAATTTACTTATTAATTAAAGATAAAGAATCTGATTCTGGTTTCACCTTGACAATCAGATGCACTCTGGGAGGTCTATGAGAGTTAGTTTTCAGTGGGCTGATTAGGGTAATGTTGAGACAGGAAATTTTAAAATGCTATACTTAGAAATGGGTCAGGAGAAAGAAGGAAATATACTTCTATATTGAGAGAAACAAAAGAACTTTAATCAAGAGTTGTTTTCCCTGCTTCTTTCTGAATCACAACTTGAGAATTTCATCAGCAGTTAAATCTATTTGATTCACTTTTTTAAACTTGTATATATGTTGCAAACCCAACTCTGAAAAGCTATGTGAAAACTACCATTACAGAAAAAACAGTTCAAATCATATAAACTGTGAGGTGCTTGGGTGATTCAGTCGGTTAAACGTCCGACTTCGGCTCAGGTCATGATCTCATGGCTCAGGAGTTGAAGCCCCGCATTGGGCACTGCACTGATAACTCAGAGCCTGCAGCCTGCTTCAGATTCTGTGCCTACCTCTCTCTGTCCCTCCCTTGCTCACACTGTGTGTCTCTCTCTCTCAAAAATAAACATTGAAAAATTTTTTTGAAAAAGTCATATAAACTGTGATACTAGGGAACAAGCATGAAAATAGAGGAGTCAGGGGTGTTTCAAAAGTTGGTATATTGTCTAGAACCTTTCTTTTCTTCTCTTTGCCTGGGAAGAGAGTGGCCAGCAATTATTAAATTGAACTGTATATTGTCTGTGGTTTCAGTCAACCCTATTCGTTCTGTCCTCCTTATTATAGAGTAGATGTTTGAATAGGCTTTGGTTAGATCCCGCAGATCCCTGCTGAACTTCCATGATATGTGATAGCTTGTGATAGTCCTGAGACAAACTGAATCTGATCCACTGAGGGCTGGCTTGTGAGAATGAGTGTTGGTAAGCAATCCTGGCTCACTGTCTAGCATCTGTAGCTCAGCGTGGCTTCATTTTATTCTACGTGTTCTGTATACAGTAACATATGGTAGCAATAAAATCTTGTGGTTTTATGGAAAATTGGACCCCCAAAGAAAACCAATCACCTTTTCTGTGTTTAAAAGTGAAAAAATCTTGAGGGAAAAAAAGGGTAGCTTTAATTTAGATTAGAGAAGTTTTAGAAAAATAAAAAGGAGAATGTTGACTTTGCTGTTGCTCTGATACAGAAATGGCAAATATGCCATAACTTTTATATGCAAACAAAAGAGAGGGGAAGAGAGGGAAAGGGAATGGTGTTCGTATAATTACCTTTCAATTCAAACAACACAAAATTTTTGAGTCTGGTGACAAAAAAACTATTGAAATTTGAAAAGAAGGATTGTATGATTATATGAGATTTCTAAATGAATTTAGTTCTATATTTATAGAATAGTTAATGGTCTAAAAGGATCAGTTAATATTTTCACT